ACAGGATTCAATTTGACTACATCTATAGATGGATACATTAAACACTAAAGACCGAAGACTAGAAGAGTTGTGGGATGACTTCAAGAACATCATACATGAAGAATGCAAAAAGTCATTGAGAAGACAAGAAAGAAGGAAACGGTCAAAATGGATGTCAGAAGAGACACTGAAACTTGCTCTCCAGTGTAGAGATGCTAAAGCAAATGGAAGAAATGGGGTCCAAGAGCTCATTTCAAAGATCAACTTGAGAGGATCAAGCCAAATATTACAACAAAATGTGCAAAGATCTGGAATCAGAAAATCAAAAAGGAAGAACACTCTCAGCATTTTTCAAGTTGAGGGAACTGAAGAAAAATTCAAGCCTCGACTTTTGTTATTGAAAGATTATCTGGAAAAATTATTGAATGATGCAGAAAGCATCAAGAGAAGATGGAAGAAATACACAGAGTCCCTGTACCAAAAGGAAATGGTTAATGTTCAACCATTTCAAGAGGTAGCATATGATCCAGAGCCAATGATACTGAAGAAGGAAGTCCAAAGTGCATTGAAGGAACTGGCAAAGAACAAGGCACCAGGAATTGATGGAATACAAATTGAAATATTTCAAGAAAGTGAGGTGGCACAGGAGGCATTCACTCATCTCTGGCAAGAAATTTGGAAGACAACTATTTGGCCGACTGATTGGAAGAGATCTGTGTCTGTGCCCATTCCAAAGACAGGTGACCCAACAGAATGAGGAAATCATCAGACAATCTCTTTGATATCCCATGTGAATAAAGTTTTGCTAAAGGTGAGACAGAAATGGCTACAATCATACATTGGCAGAGAACTTCCAGAGGTTCAAGCTGGATTCAGAAAAGGCCGTGGAACGAGGGATATCATTGCTGATGTCTGATGGATCTTGGCTGGAAGCAGAGAATGTCAGAAAGATGCTTACCTGTGCTTTATTGACTATGCAAAGGCTTTCGATTGTGTGGATCATGACAAGCTATGGACAACATTGCTAAGTATGAGTATTCCGGAACACTTAATTGTGCTCACGAGGATTCTGTACCTAGACCAAAAAGCAGTTGTTCGAACAGAACATAGGAACACTGAATGGTTTAAAATTGAAAAAGGTGTGCGACAAGGTTGTATTCTTTCACCATACTTATTCAACCTGTATGCTGAGCAAATAATCTGAAAAGCTGGGTTGGGTTATATGAAGAAAAATGTGGCATCAGGATTGGTGGAAGACTTATTAACAACCTGTGATATGCAGATGATACAACCTTGCTTGCTGAAAGTGAAGAAGACTTAAAACATTTACTGATGAGATCAAAGAGCACAGCCTTCAGTATGGATTACATCTCAATGGAAAGAAAACAAAAATCCTCACCACTGGACCAATAAACAACATTCTTATCAACAGAGAAAAGATTGAAGTTGTCAAGGACTTCAATCTTCTTGGATCGACTATCAACACTCATGGAAGCAGCAGTCAAGAAATCAAACGATGTATTGCATTAGGCAAATGTGCTGCACAAGACCTTTTAAAGTGTTGAAGAGCAAAGATGTCAGCTTGAGGACTAAGGTGCGCCTGACCCAAGCCATGGTGTTTTCAATAACCTCATATGCATGCCAAAGCATGAATAAAGGAAGACCATAGAAGAATTGATGCTTTTGAGTTATGGTGTTGGAGAATATTGAAAGTGCCATGGGCTGCCAAAAGAACCAATAGATCCGTTTTGGAAAAAGTGAAGCCAAAACGCTCCCTGGAGGCCAAGATAGGCAAACTTTGTCTCTTATACTTTGGACATATTGTCAGGAGGGACCAGTCACTGGATAAGGATATCATGTTTGGTAAGGTGGAGGGTCAGAGAAAAAGAGGAAGACACCCAATGAGATTGATTGGCCAAGTGGTAGCATCGATGGACTCAAGCGTAATAACAGTTGCAAGGTTGGCCTAGGATCCGGCAGTGTTTCGTTCTGCTGTGCATAAGGTCGCTAAGAGTCGGTATCGACTCAATGGCACCTAACAACAATAACAACATAGATGGAGTCCTGGTGTGGCGCTGTGGGCTAATGTGTCAGACTGCAAAGTTGTTTGAACTGCAAGGTCGGTGGTTCAAGCTCACCAGCTGCTCCTTGGAAACCCTAAACAGGGTCGTTATGGGTCAGAATCGATTTGATGGCACTCAACAACAACAACAACATAGAAGGAGATAAGGAGCTCTGGTAGTGTCGTGGTTACAAATTGGGCTGCTAACCTCAAGGTCTAGCAGTTCGAAACTACCAGCTGTTACGCAGGAGAATGATGAGGCTTTCTGCTCCTGTAAAGATTTACAGCCTATATAGGGTTGCTATGAGTCGGAACTGACTCCACGGCATACCACCACCACCATAGTAGGAGATGATGGAGAATTTCAATATCATCAGGACAAAGCCAGAGGTCAACTGTGGAATAGACCATTAATTTTAAAACAGTTACAGCAGTACATTGACAGGGAATGACTAGTAACTCAAGCTAGATCAGAAGAGGATGTGGACTGAGGGCTAGCACTGCTGAAGTCAAAATGATCTTGGCTTGAAATCAGAGAATACCAGAAAGATGTTTACCTGTGATTTATTGACTATGAAAAGATATTCAACTGTGTGGATCATAATAAATTACTTATGCTCATGTGGAACCTGTACATAAACCAAGAGGTAGTCATTGGAACAGAACAAGGGGAAAGGTATGCATCAGAATTGTATCCTTTTACCATACTTATTCAATCAGTATGTTGAACAAATAATCTGAGAAGCTGGACTATACGAAGAATGTGGCATCAGGATTGGAGGACGTCATTAACAACCTGTGATATACAGATGACAAAATTTTACTTGCTGAAAGCCAAGAGGACTTGAATCACTTACTGATGAAGATCAAAGACTACAGCCTTCTGTGTGGATTACACCTCCACATAAAGGAAACAAAAATTCTCACAACTGAACCAATAAGCAAAATCATGATAAACAGAACAAAAAATGTTGAAGTTTCCAAAGATTTCATTTTACTTGGATGCACAATCAACACCAATTGAAGCAGCAGTCAAGAAATTAAAAGATATATTCCATTGGGCAAATCTGCTGAAAAGATCTCTTTTAAGTGTTAAAAAGTAAAGATGTCACTTTGAGGACTAAGGTGCACCTGACCGAAACCATGGCATTACCAACATAAGCAAATTTGACAATGAATAAGGAAGGCCAAAAAGTAACTGATGCCTTTGAATTATGGTGTTGGCAAAGACTATTAAATCTACCATGGACTTCCACAAGAATGAACAAATCTGTCTTGGAAGAAGTCCAGTCAGAATGCTCCTTAGAAGCTAGCATAGTGAGGCTTTGTTTCATATACTTTGGACATATTATCAGGCGGGACTATTCCCTGGAGGAGGACATCGTGCTCGGTAAAGTAAAGCACCAGCCAAAAGAGGGCGACCCTGAAGGAGATGGATTAATCCAGTGGCTGCAGCCATAAACGGCAACAGCTCTAATTGTGAGGACGGCAGAGGACTGGGTACCCTTTAGTTTCTGTGAGTAGGTACCGACTGCTGTGGCGCTGTAGGATAAGCACTGGACTGCTAACCGAAAGGTCAAGTTTGACAGGTGAAGGATAAAAGGAAGGGGACAAGGTAGGTATTTGGGCAGTTTAGTCCATCAAGGGCCAACGACCAATCCATGGGCGCGAATAAGGGGGAAATGGCAAAACCACAAAAACAAAGCAACGACTTGTGGTTTGAGCGGTGAAGAGAGGCCTCAGCCCCGCCCCTCTGGCGGAGGGCCACTGAGACCAGGACGAGAAAAACTCCACTTTTTGCTCAAATCCCTGCATCTACGTTTCCTATACTCACTCGCGTGGTATGCTGTCCCCACTTTTCTGGGAAAGTTCTCTGCTATAATAATCTTGTTGTAAAGTGCAGTCGAGTCGTTTCCAGCTCATAGCGATCCTGTGCAAGGTTTCCAAGGGGCGGCTGGTGAGTTCGAATCGCAGACCTTGCAGATCAAACCGACCGTGTAGTCCAGCGCATTATCCCGCAGCACCACACCAGGCCTCTATAATAAACTTAGGGCTTGGCTTGCTTGGCAAGGAGATACGGTTTGCTAGTCCTGTCCCTTTCTCACACCGAAACCAGGTCTCAAATCTGGGCATCCCGCCTGTGCACTTGACAGGGTTCAAATCCAACAGTCATTCCTTGGAAACTCTACACAGACAGAGTCACTATGAGTCAGAACCGAGTCAACAGCACTTAACAACAACAAGCGCAACTAATGCAATAAGCCAGCAATGGTTTTTACTGGGGTTTAGTTTGTATTTCTATGATTACTGGTGAGATAGAACAACTTTTCATGTTCGTTAATCCGGTTTTAAATTGTTCCTTTGCTTGCGACGTGGCTTATACTGATTTGAGCAAGCGAGGAATTTAGCCAATCCGACTGGAAAACAAGACAAATGAAACTCAGGAATAGTTCATTCTTACTTTGGATGTTTGACTCCGTCCATTGTCTCTCCCCAACCCCCGCCCCGGCTCCCCATCTCCTCCCCAAAAGAGCTCTTTGTGTGTGTCAGCAATCAGGGAAAGAGATATCAGTCAGCAAACATGTATCTTTGCACTGTATTGCCCCAAATGTGTGCATTATGCACATATCCTATTTGATTTCAATGTTTATGGGAAAGTGTTCCTGGATCCTAAAGCTGCCTGGAGTGCTGGGTCCGCCCAGAGACTTTCCGCAGAAATGGCCTCTCTCACTCGGCCTTCGATTGGCCCGCCTGATCCCGCAGGCGCCACCAGGACGCGGGCTCGCTTAACGCGCGGTGGATGCGAGTGTTGAGTAGCTGCTTCTGCCTTTTTCGTCCCCGACTTCTCCCCCGCCCCACTCTTTAGCCATAGCTATGGTTACCACGTCTCTCTCCGCCTCCCTCCACTTACAAAGAAGACGACTGCCTATTGGCTGCCTGTCACCAAGGCGGTCAGCCATTGGTCGACTGGGGGTCCGGGCGCTCCCCCTTCCCCTGTCTCCCGGGTCTCTTGAGGAGCCTGGTAGGTGGCTCAGCTGGTGCCGCCGGGCTGCCGGGACCGGGCTGCGGCAATCGTTAGCGGGCCATGTCGGCCGCCCAGGGATGGGACAGGAACCGCCGGCGGGGAGGAGGCGCCGCAGGCGGCGGAGGTAGCGGGTCCGGCGGGGGCAGTGGGGGCAGCGGGGGTCGGGGAACCGGCCAGCTCAACCGCTTCGTGCAACTCTCCGGGCGACCGCACCTGCCAGGTTAGTCTCGGGCCATGGTCCTGACAGCTTGCAGGCGCGGCAAGCTGTCACATGCCACCTTTTCTTTTCTCCCTGGCTTTCTTTTGCTTGGCAGGAGGAAAGGCAGGCCCCACGCGTAGTAGAGGGACGGGGGGCGAGAGAGAAAGGGAAGGTGGCTTTGAGGTCAGGGAGGAAACTGGGCCATCACGAAGAACCAGTATTTTTGTTTTGTTGAAAACTGTGTTGAGAGTTGTGATTCCTTTTCAAAGGAGAGGCCGGCTGTCTCAGTGACATTCCCAAATGTTTCGCTTACTCAATTCTCAGTCTCCTCCCCTTCCGCAGTTTGATCTTGAAAAAGAAAGACATTGGGGAATGATCTGCAAAAGGGTTTTAAATTGAGGGGAAGGGTATTCCAAAAAGTGATTTTGGAAAATAATCACCCTGAGTGTGTGAGAGTTAGGCATTCCGAAACGGAAGGAGAAGAAAGTGGGGGCTTGGTGGTGGTGGTGAGGGTGGGCGGGGGACACAGAACCGAAAGGATCAAGAAAACTAGTTGCATTATTAATATTTTGGAATGTCCAGAGACAGAATGGATAGTGGTGTCTGGATTTTAAGGGAGAAGAAAACAAAGATCAAGAATATACTTAGTGACGAAATTAGAATGTGTCTACGATATAAAAACAACGGATTGAAACCTGGGAAAAAATGTGTCCAGTGTCATTATCTTATGTTTAGTTTAAAATTCCTAATCCTTGAGTTCAGATGCCTGGAAAAATAAGAACAAACCAAGTTAATAAATGTGTGTAGACCATTTTAAAGGGGGTGCACTTGTAAGAGAATAAATATTCAATGTAATAGATGAAAGGTGGAGAATTAAACTGCACAGAATGTTAAGTATTATATGGGCAACCTTATCTTTACCATGAGGAGAAGTACCAGGCATGGTGCATGAATCCATTACCATGTTTTCTTGTGAATAATGTTGAAGTGGATGATGTCCGTGATATATATGCTTAGCTGATGAATTTTAAAGAATATGATGTTTTTTTACATGTGATTGCTACCATGCTTTGTACTTGTAAGTATTAAAAAAATATTCTTTGATTAATCTAAAGATAACAAAGGGAATTTTGCATATTCAATGAGACACTCATGTTTGTGACACGATTATGGATTCATACTAGAAATAAACACTAACCCTTTTATATACACCATTAAAATAAAAATGGAAGTATTTAGAAGTTATCAAGTGTAGATAATAATCCACTAGGAATTGGTATTGAGACAATAGTGTCAGACTGGGTACCCTAGAATTGCTAAATATGTTATTTTAAACATGAAGCAGAAAAGAGAAGAAATACTTATTCTTACAACAGATTAATTACAAAAGCTTGGATTTTGTTGGGTACTGATGGTTTAGAAGATCTATTTCTTAGCTTGAACACACAAGTTTGCCAGTTACATTCTTTAGGTGTTTGAGTTTAGATTAATTACAAAGACTTCAAGTAGACATTCCTAGGCTCCAAGAACCTGTTTGATGCACTTCCTCAGTGCGACCACCCGATGGCAGTGGAAGCCGTGAATTTTGACTTGGGGTTTAGGTGTGGAGCTTTTTCTGCATTCTTGAAGCACACAAGGCCAAGAACAACATTTGTGTGGTTTCCTTGTACATACTGAAAATTTGGCTAGGGGTTCATCAGCCTCTTCTTTCCACTTTCTTTCCACCTGTCTAGTACTTCGTTCCTTCTTACCTCAGCAGGCATCTTCTTATCTTTTCCCCATTCTCAAAATTAGGAAACATCTGAAATCTCACTACTTTGAAATTGTTTCCCAACAATTCTTTATCCTACCAGCAATTGCATTAGAAGTCATGTCTCTCTCTCTCTTTGATGGAGAGATTTTAAAAGATTTTATGTGATGGGGGAGGAACAGGAATGTCTAGACCTGGATTATGGCTGACCCGGAAAGTAAATCCTTTCTTCTTTTCTTTTTAAGGACACACTCAGGAGCTGGCTATCTCTCCTTGATCTCTAATCCCATTTTCCATTCTTCTCTACTAAGACTTCCAAATATTAGGGAATTCTCTTATTTATATTTATTCCTACTCTCTAACCAGCCTCCAGGGAATCAAAACCAAGCAACCTGATGGTCCTGGCATGGTCTATCTTTTTCAGTGACAGTGTCCTTCTCTGTCCAGTTATACAAGACTGAAACTCAGGCATCTTCCTTAGCATTGACCTCCCCCTTGTCCTGCAGATGTGATTCAGTTGCCAAGTCCAGTTTCTTTTACTTGGATAACTTCAGTCCATGCTGCCATCATCCTTCAGTTAAGTCTCCTGAAGTAACTTTCTCAACACTCTTCCTGTTTCTGTTCCTGCCCTCCAGTCGTTTGTATTGTTGTGAAATATATGTAACAAAACATTTGCCATTTTAACCGTCTAAAAGTGTACCCTTCAGTAACGTTAATTGATCCCACCATTATCCAGTTTCAAATATTTTTAATCCCTCCTAAACTCAAACTCAAGGAGCTCTGGTAGCATAGTGGTTACAAGTTGGGCTGCTAACATCAAGGTCGGCAGTTCGAAACTACCAGCCGTTCCATGGGAGAAAGATGAGACTTTCTGTTCCTGTAAAGATTTACAGCCTCAGCAACCCTATCCGGGTTGCTTTGAGTCGGAATCAACTCCACAGCACACCACCACTACCACCAAACACAAACTCTTGGTATGATGTTGTAGGATCAGCACTGAATTGCAAGCCACAAGGTTGGCGGTTCAAATTCACCAGCTGCTCTTCGGAAACCCGAAGGGTTGCTATGAGTCAGTACCTACTTGACGGCACTTAACAACAACAACAACAAACATGAACTCAATATCCCTTAAATAATAACATCCTACTTCCTCTTCTCCCATCCCTTGCTAATCACCAATAAACTTTTTTTTTTTTCACCAGTAAACTTTTGTCTGATGCGTTTGCATATTCTGAGTATTTCATATAAGTGGATCATAAAATATTTGTTCTTTTGTGTCTGACTTATTTCAGTTAGTTTAATGTCTTCAAGGTTCAGCCATGTCATGGCATGTATTAGAACTTGTTTTCTCTTTAGGGCTGAATAGCATTCCATTGTATGAATATATACTACATCTTGGTTATCTATTCATCTGTTGATGGACACTTGGGTTGTTTCCACCTTTTGGCTATTGTGAATAACACTGCAGTGAACATTTGTTTATAAGTAACTGAGTTACTTTTTTCAAGTCTTCTGAGTATATACCGAGGGGTGGAAATGTTGGGTCTTTTGGGGGACCGGCTCTATTGTGTTCCACGTTTGCTGTTCTGCTTTCCATTCCCAACAGCAAAGAATGAGAGTTCCGGTATCTCAGCATCTTCACCAATACATGTTAGTTTTTGTTTTCCTGATGGTAGCCGTCTTAGTGGGTATGAAGTGGTGTATCATTTTGGTTTTGATTTTCTGTGACTAATGACATTAAAGAGCATCATTTCATATGTTGTTGACTGTATGTATATATTCTTTTTAATTTTTATTTTTTGCACCCACCTGGACTGCAGGGTTGACTTGGAGTACTACAAGGTTGATGGGACAAACTCACCAGCCACTCCTTGGAAACCCTATATAGGGTCACTGTGAGTCAGCGCTGATACAATACCACTTAACAATAACAACAACTCATCCATCCATCCATCCTCACACATCCTTGTCCTCCCACCTAACCACCCACACAGCCACCCATTCACCCAACCACCCACACCCACCCATTCACCCATCCATCCTCACATCCCCTTGTCCACCTATGTAACCACCCCCACACACAGTCTCTTCACACACACATCCATCCATCCATCTTGTATATATTCTTTAGAGAAATTTCTGTTGGAAAAATTCATCATTTTGTGTGTTGCTCTTTATATATTCTGGATATCAAACTCTTATGAAATATATGACTACCAAATATTTTTCCCATCCCCCAATTTTTTTATAGCACACTGATCTTTTGCCAGCACAAATCTATTCTCATCTTTGCTTGTAACTCTCTACTCGTTGCTCTTGGGTGGTGGTGGTTATGTACCATGGAGTCGGTTCTGACTCATAGTGACCCTGTACAGGGTTTCCGAGGCTGTAAATCTTTACGGGAGCAGAAAGCCTCATCTTTCTCCCACGGAACAGCTGGTAGTTTCGAACTGCTGACCTTGTGGTTCACAGCCTGATTCGTAACCACTATGTTTAGGAACAGGCAAAATCCTTAACATGACCTAAAAACACTGTTTAATCTGGACCACTTCTGACTTTCAACTAATCATCCATCATGTTTTCTCATTCTTTGCTTTTTGGCCTTTCTTACTTCCTTGGATATAAGGAGCCCTGGTGGTGCAGAGGGTTAAACACTAGCAGTTCAAATCCATGAGTCATTCCACAGGAGAACGATAAGGCTGCTTGTTTCCATAAAGCTTTGTGTCTTGGACACTATATGGAACAATTCTTCTCTGTTTTATAGGGGTACTATGAATCAGAATTGACTTGAGGGCAGTAGGTTTTGGGTATATTATAAGTACCCTCGTGGCATAGTGGTTAAGCATTTGGCTGCAAATGTTAAAGGTTTAGGGTTCAAACCTCCCAGCTGCTTGTCAGGAGAAAGACGTGGCCATTTGCTTCTGTAAAGATTACAGCCTTGGGAACCCTATGGAGCAGTTGTGCTCTTAGCTCACTGTGGCACCAAGTTTGGCTTCTGGGTGGACATAGCATTCTCTCTCTTGCCACAGGGCCGTTGTCTATACCATTCCAGCATCTGGTATCCCTTATATTTTCTTACTTTGAATCTCTGCTTGATCACACCGTTTACCCCTTGCCCCGTCTCTTCTTTCTGTACACCCTCATAGCTCCGGGGTGGGGGGTGCTCCTTGGGTAGTATTCAAATGTTGTGGTTGTTTGATGCACATGCACACATGAGAGGGCTTCACAAGACTCGTGGAAAAATGGAATGAAAAGATAGTGGAATTTTTCC